CTTGTGCACAAACGATCGCTGAGCCTCGTCTTCCAAAAAAAAAAATCAAAGAACCGCGGGAGAAGAGGCGCGAAGAAGATTGGGAAGAGGCGGGGGAAGAATAGTGGGAGCAGCCAAAAAATGGATCTAGGGTTCTTCGTGAAGATGCGGAATCTGAAAAAGAACGAGAAACAAGAGAAAGTACGGGTTGTTAGCTTTTTTCCCCAATTCCTCCCAAATCAATAGGATTTGGGTTTCCATAGAAAACCCATGCTTTTACCACTTTATAGATTTCGAAATCTATAAATTTTTATCAACCAAACTCAAGATTACGACTCATATGAAATCCTTTATTTATAATTTTACCCCTGTCAGGTCCAAATCCTATCCTATTCCTTTTCCATAAAATGAGTGAAACAAACAACCCCTTAGTGAATTTCATCAAAAAATCTGGTGTGTAGTACAAAAACCAAATGTTAATTTTAATCACTCATGAATTGATTGACGTTGTGTTACTTTTAGTGTTGTTTAGCTCGAAAACACTACATCTAAATTGACACATTACTTCCAATCAACAAAAGAAAATTACTTACTACCTCATTTTAAATTAATTTTTATGCAAACAACATAGTAAGCATTAGAATTGTGAATAAGGATCAAAGATCATAGGTTAATCCTTTCTGGATTAAAGATATATTAATTCTAACACAAATTAAGAGTAATAAAAATACTGCGAATCTTAATCATTAACTATGTTCTTTAGAGCTACCTTCAATTAAGAAATGTCACCTCAATTTAATTAAAATTTAGACTAGAATTGCAATTTTAACATAAAGAAATGTAAAAGATGCATAAATTGAACTAAAATGCAAGAAAGGAGTCAAACTAATGAACTTTATTGATTCAAAATATAGGAATGAAAAGAAATACAACAGGGCTCTCGAGACAATCCCTGAGAGTCCTAAATAAACTTATAAGACTTGTCCCACAATCCGGCAACATGTCAACTCTCTAGACTAAGGCTGCGTTTGGAAACTTGGATTTGGGCACTGGATTTAAAATCCAGGGGTTTTCAAATCCATATCTCTAGTTTGGACTCTAAATTGAATTGAGATTTCAAATTAAATTATTTTAGAGGGGAGAATTTGAAAGCCCAAATACACATATTTCAAATCCCACCCTAGCCTTTAGTATTTACCAAATCCCAACCGGACTCCTCTCTCTCATTTCTCAGTCCCGATCCCGACTCTCAAGTTATCTCTTAACGCAGATAACCTCTATCTCTCCTCTCTCCCCCTTCTCCTCTCTCGTCGAAAACCTAGATCTCATTTAGGGTTTAGGTCTCCCCTTTCTCCTCTCTTTTCCCCTTCCATCGAAACCCTAGATCTGATCTAGGGTTTAGGTCGTGATCTTCGTGGCAAAAACCCTAGATCAGAGTTAACACTCTCGATTTTGATGATTTTATTTCTTAGCTAATTCATTTCTTTATGATTTTGATGATTTCATTCCTTAGCTAATTCCATAAGACTGCTCTCTCACTCGGAATTGCTCAGGAGCTTGGAAGCAAGGTAAAAGTTTATTTCTTTATGATTTTTTGAGACCAATTTTTTTTTGTTTGGCTAAATCATGGGAATTGTGAATTTTTGGTGACCGTAAAGATGAAAGAGGGTCGATTGTAATGAGGTCGAGTGGTAGAAAATGGTAATTTTGAAGCTACTACTTATGGAATCAAAGGACTGGAATTAATCGATAAAAATTGCCTCATAGAGTAATATGGATAGTGGCAATAGAAATAGATATTCAAAAGTTTAATTAAGTGAGGAGAGCAAATCTTGTTAAAGCTTAAAGGAGGAAAAAAAAGTTTCATGTAGCTGACAATTTAGGATAAATTTTTTTTTGCAACACTATTTTACTGCTTTACCTCGCAAGAGAAATTAAGTTATCTGCACCTCTTCTGGAAAAATACACATAAACACTAAGAAATACAAAAAGACAGTGTATTACACATGGGCGAGGTTGTCCACTTTTTCACTTCGCGGTATTAGATAAGAATAGACATATTATTTGCAGTTCTTGTTAATTAATTGTACATCCTTTCCTGGCAGTAAATTATAGCGAAGTTAACAGATTGTATGTTTTGATAGACAAATTCCTGTGTAATTTGGTAATGTCAGTTTCATGACTTTTATCACAGTGATGTAACTGAATCAAAAGCAAACAGAATGCAAAACAGAATCAGTCAAGTTTCATGACTTTTATCACAGTGATGTAACTGAATCAAAAGCAAACAGAATGCAAAACAGAATCAGTCATGAGTTTTCCCTATTGATAATTACATTTTGCTGAATCAAAAGCAAACAGAATGCAAAACAGAATCAGTCATGAGTTTTCCCTATTGATAATTACATTTTGCTGAACTTTTCATAAGGATGAACTTTCCTGTCAAAATTTAATACTTCGCATCACTTTGATGTGTCTGATAATTGTAATATACACCTTGGTTTCAATTTCCTGAACAACGTTTCTATTGTTCCACAGGAAAGAGTATATATGCTTGTGTTCTAAGTAATTAGTATTTTGGATTATTTATGCAAAAAAATGATAAATATGAAAAGGGCTAAAATACCAAATTGGTATATTTATACGAACGCTTTTGCCAGTTTGATATTTTTAAAAACTCCAGTGACAACAAGACATTAATTCTCGTGCTTTTTGTCAATAAGGCACTTTTCCTTGAAATTCTAGAAGGAAAATTTATTCTAACTCCCTAACCTCTCAAAATTATTAAATATATACCCCAAGTTATCAAAAAGATAAAAAAAAAAAAAAAAAAAAAAAAAAAAGCATCCCCTCCCTCTCCCTCTCCTCCTCCTCGTCGTCGTCCTCCTCCTCAAACTCCTCCTCCTCTCCCGTTCCCCTCTCCTCCCCTCCTAATTATAATTCAACACTTGAAAATACTTGGACAGTTTAAAAACTTTGAGGTTCAAATTTTGTCCTGTCCTGATCCTCTTCATATTTATGTTTCATCATCATTCTAGTATGCCAAATATATCTAACCCAGTTGAACATCAAAACCCATAAACAGATGTCGGCGCTCTCTTAGTTCGATGTATCTCACAAGAAGGCAGTCCCATCCTTACATCTCGTGCTTCTCATCCAAAAATACCTGGAAAGGCATTTTGTGTGCACTTGTATGATGATCCATTTCATGAAAATTTACATTTGGTTATTTCATGGCATGCAAATTCACATGGAAATAGTGAAAAATGAGACAATGCTAAGCATATATTGGCTATTCTAGGTTTATTACATAAATTCAAAACCTAGATGTAGATATATGTAGATGCACAAGTTTGCAAATATTTGAATGCTAATGTCATTACTTCTGGAAATATATATTAGTATCTTAACCTGTGTGTTGTTACTACATTTCATTTTGTATTTCACATATGTTCTCTGAGTATTCGTATATCAAATTTAAAAATGAAAGAAGCTATAAATGACTCTGAAAATAAGTGTTAGAATTCGAAAAGTTACCTGAATACGTTTCTGTCTGATTGGGATCGAATTCTACACCTCTGGAGGAGACAATAATTCTCCTGCTCTTGCCACAAGGTTCTCTGTTGATCGACACACCCTCCCCCTTCATCTTCATCTACCTCCATTTTTACTAAAAGGATTCAACACAAGGCACTGCTGTTTTCGCTGCTGCACTCGTAGTTTCTTTGTGGTTGGTTATCAACTTATCATGAGTTCAAACCTATTTAAAGTGTTAGAGAAATATAGCGTGCATGTTGAATTTTTTGGTCAAAACCGCTTTCCAAAATGAGTTTTCAAACTATATATATATTAACTACATGTACTTTTCATCAATATTCCAAGGATTTAGGAGAAATGGTCGAGATCCAAAAAACCAGGGCCCCTTCTCCAAGATAGTATTCATTTCCTTTTTATTCTTGAACTTTAACAAATAAACACCAGCCCTAAGGAGGCAAATTTCTGGAATAGCCAATTGACTCCACACCTTATGAACAAAAGTTTCCTTAGCCTTATATTTGACATTAAGCCCCATCACCTGACCAACTAGTGAAGATTGCCAGTAAGTAGCTCCTTCATTCCATTCATCATTTTCAAAAACCACAGCATTCTTGTCTGTTGGTGTCACATAATTCAAAACCAAACCACTTCCTGATTTTCTATTGTCAGCAAAGAGATTAATCCAATTCTTACTTGAATTATTGACAGGAGAAGGAATCACTGGCTCCTTTACAGATTCTAAAGGAGGAAAATCTGATTTTTCTTTTCCAGGACTATTGATTACCATATCATCTGATACTACAACAGATTCCTTATTTCCAGAAATTAAAGGCCTAAGCTCAGATTTTTCAGAACAAGTATTCAAATCTGGCTTCATAAGAGAATTCAATCTCAAATTATCTGATCTACTGCTATCAAAACTTTTATCCAAAGTATTTAAAGAAATAGGAACTGGAACAGAATCAAGAACTGAGTGCGGATCATTAGATTCAAGATTTCTTACCGAACTCATAGATCGAAGTTGTGAAGATGAAACTACATCCAAATCCACCTCATCCGCCCAAGAAAAACTAGGAGAACTAACATTTCCCGATCGAGAATTAGAAAACTCACGAATCTGAGCTCCATGCTTCATAGGAGCAGTCGAGCACAAAATATCTGTCATTAACACCTTTTTCTTCTCTCCCTTAGGTCCCGTTGACCCCATGAGCTCCTCCACCAAGTTTGGATCTTCATCATCTTCCAAGAAATTGATATCAGATTGATCGCCAGGAGAACCTAGACTCGAATTTGATGATCTCAATCCGATATTGAAGAGATTTTTCCTATTATTTTTCTTTTTTCTTACCATTTTTAAACACGGCGGGGGCGCACATTAGCAAGCTCAAGATCGCTTGCTAACCTGCACCAGAAACCGTCCCCCCTAAATTCCCTCCATCAAGTGGACCCAAAACATAGTAACATTTAAAACAGGAGATTCATGGATGTGGAAGCAACTGGTTAAAACAAGAGATAAAGTTATGGCTATGTGTGGAGGTGAAGAAAATCTGAGGAATCTTATCAACTCATGCCATCATAGTGGTAAACTGAGGCTTTCAGACCTATACAATGCTCTATCCCCTGTTTCACAGGAAGTGCCGTGGTATAATTTGGTTTGGGGTGGACTCAATGTTCCCAAACACTCTTTTATATGCTGGTTGGTCTTACAAGATAGAATCCTCACTCAAGATAGGTTACTTAGAAGAGGGGTCATTGATTCAAATATCTGTCGCCTTTGCTCTGGAGTTGAGTGCGAGACCAGAAAGCACTTGTTCTTTGAATGTGCTTATTCTTGTGAAATATGGAATAGAGTTATGGAATGGCTGGGGTTCAATTGGAAGTCATGTTACTGGAATCAACTCATTCATTGGTTTACAGTCAGGTTAAGAGGAAGAGGGCTTAAGCAAAAATTGAAGAGGCTGGCGTTAATTGCAACTATCTATTATATCTGGCAAGAAAGAAATGCAAGGATTTTTAGACAGCAATCCAGGAATCCTGATCAAATGGTCAAGTTGATTCAAACTGAAATTTGGATTATAATGCTCAACAAACCTGGAGTTAGCAGTGATATGGATAGCTCATTGTAGTATCATGTCCGTATCAGTGCAAAGTGGGATATTACAGGTTTTCGGCAAAGAAGCTGGAACAACAAATTCATGGGGTGGAGTTTTTGTAATAGTGTGGACTGGGTGTATATAACCAGTCTTTGGGTTTCTTGTATCTTTGATAAGCACACACATTTCCATACTTGGTGATGAATAAAATTTCATTCATTTATCAAAAAAAAAACTACAAGTACTTTTTATAAATGCTTAGTAGCCTAGTGGAAAGTTAATGTTTTGGTGTTTCAAAAATTCCCTTGTTCGATGCTTGTCAACGGCAAGCCGAGAAATATTTTATTTGAATTAATCACTCATAAGTTCTAGTGGGCCGTGGGCCGTGGACCGTGGGACATGGGCGAATGGATCAGGGATTAAGGCTAATTGGGCAGAGGCATTAAGTGACGCTTTGTTAGGCGCACTTTGCACTTCGCACGGAGGCTTCGGGGTGAGGTGGCGCTATTTGGCGCCACGAAGGTTGCCTAGCAGGCTGCTTTGCAGCATGCGAATGAGCTACACATTTGCACAAGGGGGTGACCCTAGCATTCTCGAAGTCAGACGAGGTTCGTCAATTGATTGACGAGGTTCCACTCGTTCGACAAGGTTCGTCTGATTCACAAGATCAGACGAGGTTTGCTCGTCAAACGAGGTTCGCCTGTTTGACGAGGTTCACTCGTTCGACGAGGTTTGTATATCATACAAGGTTTTCCTGTTTGACGAGGTTCGTTTGTTCGATGAAGTTCGTCTGTCATACGAGGTTTGCCTGTTTGACGAGGTTTGTTTGTTAAACGTGGTTCGTCTGATTTGCTGAGACGTGATCCTCACGTTACGTAGCAACGTGTCCATTGGTTGCCTCGTATTCAGGAGTTACTATATGTAGCAGTTACAACAGTATTTAGAGTAATTTAATACATTGATGTTACAATTTTAATTGTCATTGAGAATTATAACAGTCACATTAATTACAAGTGACTCTTGAGCTGGCCTTAGAGACCTATAAATAGCGCCCTTGGGCAGCTCTTAAAAAATACATGCGAGCTTGGAAAACGAACGTCGGATCGACGTTGTTGCTGCTGTTGTGCTACTACAACAGAAACTATGCCGCAGGAACTTGCCCTTAAACCGAAAGGTTTTGAACCGAAAGGTTCTGCGATCGAGGAGATCTTTGTTTTGACTGAAAAGTTTTATAGATCGAGGAGATCTTGATAGTACTAGGTTGGTGCACACCAGAGTATTGTGCTGCTGTTCTTGAAAGCAGTTTGGCCTTAGGATCCTTGCACCGGAGTAGGCCAAATATTGCTTTAAGCACAGTGTTTCACAAACACACAGCAGTTAACTTGAAAATGTTTAAAATTACAACACATCATCTTTCACTGTTTTATTCCAGATTTAACCATAATTTCCAACAATCTTAAAACAATATTTTTGATCTACAATGGATCCTGTGAGGACTCTTGGAGTAGACTGTCTCAAGTTAGAGAATTTTGACGGATCTAATTTTAACGCATGACGTCGAAAAGTGATTTTCAGGATCCTGAAAATCTACTATGTGGTTTCTGAGGAGAAACCTGACTTTGAAAAAGACTCTGAGTCTGAAGCCTCTTGGGCTAAAGATGATTATTTCTGCAGGAGTTATCTCCTTAACTGCCTGGCTGATCATCTGGCAGATGCTTACACCAAGAAGCCAATCTAGAATGCTCTGTAGGAGTCAACAAGGATGAGGAGAAGCTTTCCAAGTCTCACCTCATTGACAAGTTTCTTGACTTCAAATTCGAAGATGACACTGAGGTTTTGCCTCAAGTCAAAGAGCACGAAAAGCTTGTTATGAAGCTGAAGGATGAAAAGATTAATCTTTGTTAAACATTCATTTCTAGAGCAATTGTTAACAAGCTTCCTCCATCTTGGATGTCATTCTCCACGGACATTCGAAGAAGAAAAAAATAGGTGACTCTGTTTGATTTGAAGAGGTTCATTCGGATCGAGGATAAGATTTGGACTCACACGAAGAATGAGCTCCTAGCTAAGCAGAAGGTGTCTACTAACATGGTGGCTACTAACTCTGAGAAGAGTACCAGTTCTTCTTCTAAGAAAAAAAAGTCTTTTAACAAAAAAAAGAACAATAATCCGAAGAACCTGAATGTTCAGAAGAAAGATTTCAAGAAGAGCGGCAAATGCTTCAACTGTGGGAAGCAAGGACATTTTGCCAAGGATTGCAAAGAACCAAAGATGGGAACAACACACAATGTTAATCAACTTGACAATTGTGTGGCTATGCTCTTTCAAGTGGTAACTCCCAACAACGTCTCTGGTTGGTGATTAGATACAAGTAATACCTGTTATGTCTGCTCTAACAGAGATTTGTTCTCTTTCTATATTGCTGCCAAAGTGAACGTATCAATGTTGATCGTTCTGTGGTTCCTGTTCTTGGAACTGGGATTGTGGTGCTGACTCTTTCTTCCGGAAAGACTCTTACATTGAAGGATGCGAAACATGTTCCCTCAATTATCAAAAACTTAGTCTCTGGAAGCCTGCTATGTGATGCTGGTATGAGGCTGGATTTTTAAGGAGGAAAGGCTGTGTTATATTTTAAGAAAATATATTTTGGCAATACATATTGTACTGATAGCATGTATAAGATCAATATTATTGTATCCAATTCAGTTGTAAATAAAGTATCCTCTTCTGCTTACTCCTCTGTATTATGGCACAACAGGCTAGGACATGTAAATTATAGAAAGCTGTCTAGCATGGAGAAGTTAGTATTACTTCTAAAATATGAGGGCAACAAACCTGATAAGTGTTGTAAGGACCATGAATTTTTGATACTAGTTAAAATATTTTTTTAGTATTTTAAAATATTTAATTATTATTTTTAAAAGAGTATTTATATTTTTCTTGAATTTCTACAATTTCCTATGATTTAAAATCTAAGTTTTATATTTATTTAAATGATATTAATATTTATAAATTAAGTTTATGCGGTGAAAATTTATGAAATTTATCTGTTGCGTTATCGATGCTGTTACATGTCATTTTAAATAATACGTTGTATTATTTTTATTATTACGTATATTTTCATATAATACGTTGTATTATTAATTACGTATTATTTGTATAATTTACAGTATTATTTCTACTATTACATATTATCTGTTGTATTAGCATAACGTGTACGTTTTACTGTGTATATAATTATCCCATAATTGTTTGATTTTAAATATAAGTAAATATATTTTATTTATTAATTATTCTCGTTTAATTGTATAATATGGGTTTTTTTCGACTATTTCGTATCAATTGTTGTAATAGCACAACATGTACGTTTTTATTTGTAGATAATTATTCCGTAATTGGTTTAATTTTTTTATACCCGTAATTATTTATTTTAATTATTTTTCGTTTAAACCCAAACCCTAAAATTACCTATATATAAATAACCCCCCTCTCTCTCTCCTGCTCTTCTTCAAAAATCCGCCGCCACCAACATCATCTCCTCTCTCTCTCCGCGACACCCCTGAGCCTGACCACCGCCTTGAACGCTGGCGGCCATCCCCCTCCCTTTCCAGATTCCGACAACCGCACCGCCTCCGCTTTGCACGTCGTTCGCCATCCACCAACCGCCAAACCCTCCACCGTCTCTAGATTCACATCCGCTCCTCCCTGCCTTCCCCGACAGAACACTGGCCACCCCCTGCCCAATCTCCGCCGCAAACCTCCTCCCACTCCAGCCGCCAACCTCCCATCCTCCTGAGCCCTCGCC